TATTTACAAGTACATTTAACCGTAACAACATCAATATAAACAAGTTTACATACCTTTCAAGTCCGACGGTTCGAATACAGATAAGAATTTGAGCATTAACATTCGAAACAAAAACATCGCGCCTGAATTTCAACGTTAAGTGGGGGTTTGACATGCAATATCGCTGTGTAGTGAAACAAAACACATTTAATCAAATCATTAAAAGGTTCCTAACATACAACATAAACGTATAAATGTATTCCTGACGATGAATAAAAAGGAAAGAATAATTAATTGTCCAAGCAATGAAAGAAATAACTCACCCTGCCTGCATTTCAGCGATAACTGCTAGTTCCACGTGCAATATTTATCTACAATGAAACAAAATGGTTCAAAACAAAGTTAAACATTGTCATTAACAACATACTGTGCTGCTTCTACGTATTAGTTGTTACGATTGAGTGAAAAATAAAAAAAACAGAGTAAACAATCAAAAATTATTTACAACCCTTACTTTTCTTGAATTTCACGTGTCAAATAAACATAAAAAGCAACATACGTTTGCAAAACACATAAACATTATGATATATACATTATACATTACTATATCCACGAATATATAGCTGAATTACTTTAAAAGAAAAAGAGTAATATATGAAATTTTATAAATTAAACTCACCGCACTGCCATTTTCAAGGGTTTACATGCTGATTGTGGGTCCAAGCTACATATATTTCTTCAAACCAAAGTCGAAGAGTGTTCTTAGCATTGTACAAGAACACATCAATGACTCAGTTTGAAGTACATGCAATATAATAGGGGTACCACTTATATAAAACTTATTATACATCGAAATAAACGGAGTTCCTGAAATAAAAAAAACATTTGCATGCACTAATCTGCACAAAATATGTTAAAATCTTCAATAAAGTTACGAGAATAGTTAAAGAATGCTACCGTGAAAAATTCATAACAAAAAAAACAAACAATACGCGAATAAAAAAAAAATTAATTTCAATTGTCATAAGTTTACTGAAACTTAATGCAAAAAACATTTATTTCTATTCAAATACATGAAATACTTACCTCATCCATTCGACGATGGCAGCCAGGGAATACTTAGAAGAGAATAGCGCAGAATAATAGTAGACTAATAGAAATAACAGCCGAATTCTAGCTCCTGTACGAGGCGGTCGACCAGCTGACCATTCCTGGCAATTTGCCAATCAGCGTATCGATTTTTCACCAACTTCGCTCCAAGGCGAATGTGGCAAAGGACAATCTGAACGTAGTCAGCCTAGCGAGGGGCGGAGGCCTCCCGTCCCCACTGTTCCTGGCCTTATTGTGCCCTACCCAGCCGTTTTCCGACCCCATTCCTGCCCAAATGGTATCAGAGGGGGCTTCGAATTCAAGCCATGTGCAAATCTCCGAAACCAATTTTTCGTGAACAGTGCCTTTAAAGAGGCAGGCGTGAAAAAAGCAGGCATAGCTGCAGGATAATATTAGACGAATTAGTAAAGATTCGAAGAAAATCAGAAATTCTATCAGAGGATTCTATCGGAAATTGTAGCTCTCCCAAACGTAAGACGATCAAACTGTAGTTGTCTGAGCCGGAACTGAAATTGAAGATGAGTCAAAATTCAAAAATTGTCCACAGTATATAGTACGGCCAAAACCTACGAAGAGAGGAGAAAGTGACTCCAATTTCGAAACTGTCCTTTGTCAGAAAAAAAAGTACTCAAAGTACTGGGGTAACTATTTGAGGAAGGCAAAAAGAACCAAGAAGGTAGAGGGATAAGAAATATCACAAAGAAAAGATTCATGTAAATGGTCAGTAACTGTGCAGCGCTTGTTTGGAGGTTGGCCTACTTGCGATATCGGCCCCACCCATGCATGTATCCTTAGGTGCATGAGGGGATGTAACAGCGCCTGCAGCTGCTAGGTTGACCCATGTATCCTTAAGTATATGGAATTGTGTCATCACATGGGACGTCGAGGTGACATGAATGGATGAGTTGTTATTTTTACAGAATCCAAGAAGTTCTCCGGAGTAAAAGAAGAAATATAATATATAGCTACATTTCATAGTTGTGGTGGTTGTTGCCCAAAAATCTACTGTATTGCGATTGTTTATTGGCTGAATAAACTCCAACATATGCATTTATTTTTAGCAGATTTCAAATGTGTTGCGCGTCCCTCCACTGAGTTGTGGGGCTGAAATTTTGAGGGGAAACGGGTTTCTGGCGTATTTTCACATCTCATATTTGTGATGGGTGGGGGCCAAAAATCAGTTGTATTGAGACTGCTTTTCAGGCTAGGTCGATAGTTTCTAAGTTACTTTCGTCTCAACGTCCACTTTAGTGATGACCTCGCCCACTTCTCTAATTTGACATTTGTTCTTTTACACCTTAACACCTTTTTGCTGCATCCCAAAACATTCCTGAACAGTGTTATAAATTTTTGATCTGAGCTCCGCCCACTTTAGTGCCAACCCCGCCTTTTCTAGGATTTGGCCACATTTGTTCTTTTACACCTTAACACCTTCTTGCTGCATCCCAAAACATTCCTGAACAGAGTTATAAATTTTTGATCTAAGCTCCGCCCACTCTAGTGCCAACCCCGCCCACTTCGGGGATTTGGCCACATTTGTTCCACTACCTCTAACCACCCTTTTGCCGCATTCTGTAACGTTTCTAAGCAAAGTTGCGCTAATTTTTTGAAAGTGGTTTTCGTCTCAACGCACGCTCTGCCCATCGCGGGCGGGGCTTCGCTAAGCTTACTCATGTCCGGCACGCATGAGGCCCTGCTCACCCTTTTTCTTTTTTTTCCTCGCTTCTGCGGCTTAATTGAATCGAGTTATGAATGCGTCTGAAAAGTACCGCCCGTTTTCAGAAAGGTCCGCCCACAGCACATGGGTCTTCTCCGACAGGTTTAATGACCAAATCCTCACCTTTGCTCATTTTTTCCCGATGTCTCGACTTTATCGAGGCTAAAATAAGGTATTTAGCTCTTGGCACCGCCCATTTCGGCACTTGCCCCGCCTCCCGTGGGCGGAGCTCCACAGAGCTCGTATGTGCTCTGTTAATCTTGCCTCAGGCCCCACTCATCCCAAACTTGTCCCGACCTCTAAAGGTGTTTTCTCCGGTGAAACCGAGTAGCGTGACACACATACATACATACATACATACATACATATACATATACATATACATATACATATACATATACATATACATATACATATACATATACATATACATATACATATACATATACATATACATATACATATACAT